TTTTGGCCTTGTGGCAGGGTCCACGTTGATGATCAAAGGTTTCAGGCTCCCTGCCAGGTAGAGATAAGAAAACGCCCTGTGCACATTTCCTAGAAATCTCAGCAAAGTCATAGAAAGTGTTTTTATAATGTCTAGACGACAGGCACTGTGCCTGCCTGCGTGCCAAAGGTTTCCGTGACTGCATTTATTTGATTGCTTAGATGTAGTAACTGTTCCCTCCTTTCCCTGGGCTTTGTTTCAGGATGGTTTTTGCCCCTCATCCTCTCTTCTCCAGTAGGTCCTCCTCAGGAGATGCATGTGTACTTCCCAGATTCTGGGGTCAGGATAATGAAATGAGTCTTTTGAGTAAAAGAATTCTCTCCAATGAGAGAGATCTGGGCGGGTGTGTGTGTGTGTGTGTGTGTGTGTGTGTGTGTGTGTGTGTGTGTGTGTGTGTGTGTGTGTGTGTGTGTGTGTGTGTGTGTGCACGCGCGCGCATGCCTGTGTACATTTAGAAAGCATGCAGTCTGTCCCTTTCCTTCCCTCCCCCTGCCCTCAGCTCCAAGGACCAGAGAAACATCATCAGAAACTTGTGCTTAGGAGAATGGGCAGGTAGGTATGTATGTAAGCCCTTGCTACAGTCCAGGAACAGCTGTCTCTGCAAATCAACTGTCTTCGCTTGTTTGGCTTCAGCCACCTTCTCTCTGCCTCCAGTGGGAACCAGGGCTCTGCCAGCTCTGTTAACACATGCTTTCTTAGTCCTAAAGGCATTCAGGACCAGTAATAACCATGGCCAGAGACCCAGAGAGAGACACAGACAAAACGTTTTGTTTTCTGTTATGTGAAACGTGTGTGTGTGTCTCTTTGGGGTTTCTGCACACCTTTCTCTGCCTGGGGGTCTTGGCGTGTGTGTGGGCATGCGCTTCTTTCTGGCCCTGCACATCAGCATCCTGGGTGCCCCTCTTCACGGCTCTTTCTCCTGTCTGTGTCACTGTCTCCCTTGAAGACTGGATCTTGTCTGCTGTTCTCCAAGCTGCTTCAGCAAGATTACCAGATGCATGGATGGGATGAAGCCAAGAGGCTGTCCTTGAAGTGTCCGGAAGTGGGGAAGGGTTAGGCAGGTGGACCATTGGAAGAGGAGAAAGTATTTGGAAATCCTTCAGGAATCACCTGCTTATCACATCTTCAATGCATGCTAGCTCAATCTGCACACCTCCTCCTCTCTAATAACCGTTGTATTCTAGGTTTATCCTACAGATCAAGAATTCTCTGTCTCCGATGTACAAATCACACCATGTGTCTGAAAATCCTTGGATAATTTTAAAAGCCTCCCCTGAACCCTGCACACCATTGGCTGCTTCTTCCATTGGTTTTTCGCTCATGTTCAAGGGCTTCTTGCTACAATCACGAGACTCATGCTTCCCTCTTTTCCTGTTCCCTATCCTTTCAGGATGCATTGTGGGGGGGGGGCGTGTGTGTGTGTGTGTGTGTGTGTGTGTGTGTGCGTGCGTGTGTACGCGCGCTTGTGTGTACATATAAAATCCTTTTATTACTTGGAAGAGCAAATCACTTGGGCAACAGTGCTTACAACCTTATAAAACATGGACCACTGAATAATCAGAAATAGTCCACATTGATAGCTGGACACAAAATAAATTTTTAGCTGCACCTCCTCAAGTTCTAATTTGGCTCATTAATGAGAACTTTTTAAATACAAAGAGGTAGGAAATTTAGAGCTACTTTGAAATTTTTCACCACTGAATCTGTCCAATGTACAACCCAAGCTGATATATCCAGGCTTAGAACAACATCCTTAAAATAAGTCTTCTTTTGGGAAAATGGAATTTAGAAAACATTGCTCATTGACAAAAGTAAAGATGCCCTGAATGGAGTTGTTGAAATGGGAATCTTAAAAATAAGGGATTTGGAAGTGAAATTAGCTAAGAAATTAACTATGTTTGAATCAAAATCATCGTGTGGAGAATCAGATCGCTGTCTTAACCACCCAAGTTGGGAACTCCACAAGTGAGATGCAGAAGAGGCATCTGGCTAGAAAGGAAATAACAGATGGAAATCAGCCTTGCTGAGATTCCTGGAAAGTAAAGGACTAATCTGCATTCTGCAAAGGAGACTAAATTATGAGTGGGCGTTTAGTTTGTTTTTTAAGGCTCCTGGTAAGTGGATTTTTAGGGAGGAGTGACTGTAGGCTGGTCTAGTCATCCTGATCTCATGTATTCTCTGACTATGGGCTGTCTGCCCAAGTCTTTGTAAAAATGTTGATATTCTACTGGCACTGGTTCTTGGTAAACTCTTCTCAGTCCTTAGGTCTTGCCACGGTTGAAGAAATAACATGATTGTGTGCATTCTTATTCCCCCAAATGAACGTGGACCTCTGGGCTCTTTCTGTTGAGCTATGTGTTGAAGTTTTCTGCAACACAATAAGTCTCTGAAGGAGCACCCTGGTTCCATGAACTTGAGGCACATGAAGCCCACTAGGTTAACACAGGGGCAGGAAAATCATTGCTAAAAAAAAGGAGCTGAACTCAGTCTAAAGCAATGGCCAGTACTGGTTCAAGAGTGCAGATAATGAAACACACCTTCCTCTTGGCTATCCTTTATCTTGTAATAGAAGAAGGGGTATTTAATCAAAATGGTAGGGGACTCTGGGTGCCAGATGCTGTATATTTTCTCACATCACATTGCTGAGTTATTTATTTTGCTTAACTGTTTTTCTATGCTAACCAGAGTTGACAGGAGTTGCTATGTTGAGGAAAAAATTATTTATCATTAAAAAATGGGGGCAGCCAGGTAGTGCAGTGGAGTGGAGTGGATAGAATGCCAGACCTAGAGTCGGGAAAACTCATCTTTCCAAATTCCAATCTGGCCTTAGATTATTAGCTATATGACCCTAGATGTCTCTTAATTCTGTTTGCCTCAATTCCTCATCTGTAAAATGAGTCGGAGAAGGAAGCTGCAAACCACTTTAGTATCTTTGCCAAGAGAATCCCAAATGAGGTCACAAAGAGTCAGATACTACTTAAACAACTTGACAACAACCACTACAACAAAACCCTCATTAATCAAAAGAATTCAGAACTCTGGCATTTACCAAAATTTAGGGAAAGATGGGAGGTTGTTGGCTAGCATCCCCACAGCCATTTTCTCAATTGCTGGCAGGCTTACTGAATTGGCTTGGGTTAGTCCACGGGAAATGAGGTAGTCCTAACAACCATTTGCTTTGGAACAGAAAGTGAGACAGCTCTAGAGAAAGGCACACTTAAGACAAGCATTCCTCTAACACAAGGTAGTTTGTGTGTAAAGAGCTTCATTAATAAAAGGATTTTAATGAAGTGGATCAAGTTCATTCCTTTTTAAATGTAGGATGTGGATATCTGCTAGATTTTGTTTAAAAATGGAGACTTCCTAACAGGGACCTATACTGTATGACTTAGCAAACCCAAGAAATTCACATCTATGGGTGTCCTTTACATGGTCTCTGCAATTCTGCCTAGTCTCAAAAACATAATTACCCAAGTTTCTTAGTTAATTATCCATAAGCTTATCGTCTCATTGTTTTTTTTTTTCTGATACAACTGAACTGAAAATGAAATGAGCACACTGAGAGTGCTCCCCGAGTGCTCCCTTTACACTGAATGCTGACCCTCAGCTCAGCTGATCTAGTTATGGCCCTGTAGATTTGAAAATAAACAGAGAGAACCTTTTCCAGGAACAGAGCTGCTCTGAATTGCTCTTTGTGTAAATGTCATGCCTGCTGGGTCACAACGTGTCCTTCAGCCGTGCAGGCTGGCAAAAGAGTGACTGCCAGGAAGGGGATGGGGAGCCCAAGATTTGTTTGGGATGGGAGGCTGAACAAATAATTGGTAGAAAGGAAGTGAGAGGCAGGCCATGGAAACAAGACTGAAATGGGGCAGGAAGGGTGTCAGCTGTTGAAAGGGAGTTTGGGGTGGGGGGGTGGGGCAGCCTTTTCTAGATGTTCTCATTTATTTAGATGTAAGCTCATTACAAGGGGAGGGACCAGAGGTCTTCTGAAGCCTTTGTCTTGAATAGGGGCAATGATTGTGTGAAGCAGAGTCAGAAGCAGGGTCCCAGATACTCTGACCAGACAGGAGTGTGTAATGGCCAGAGGTGACGCTTGTTTGGAGAAGACACTCGTCACCTGTGTAGTTGTCTACAGCATTAGGCCAGAGAGGTGTTGCTGCTCCTAATGGTCACAGCATCAATGCGGTGTGGCTTGTAGGAGGGCAGCCTAGCATTTAATTTGCCAGTCTTCGGGAAGGCTGCCAGTTTTCCCAACTGTTAGATAATCTCACACGAGAGGGCTTATTGGCAGTTTTAAACTGGGCCATTTATCATTCCAGATCGCTCCTACACAAAGGAAGCTATAAAATTTATGAAACTCTTAAGGGTTGTTATGCAATTTATGTGCTGAGTTCAATGCAATTTACCTTGGGAATGGAGTGGGGGAGGGGGTGGAGGGAATCTAGAAATCTTTCACTTATTTAACCTTTCACTTGGTTAATTTTGCCCTCCCACAGGGATTCTTTAAACTGTAATGCAGCATGGAGACATTTTAAATCTATAAGTTATACCGATATTGTCAAAAGTATACAGAAATGCTACGTAGAGAACATTCTTTCACAAACAAAACAAGAACGCTACAAGGTCTTAGGCAAAGGATTTGGTCATGCCAACCATTAGTGGTGGTCTCTGACATGCAGCACAGACGGGACGGTTTGGGGCTGTAGGCTGGGGAGGTGTTTTCGGAATAAAATTTGGCTTTGAGGTTCTTCTACCACTAGCTCCAGGATCACAAAATTTATCTTGGATTTTACTCACACTCCCCAAGTCCTTACTATGTGCAAGGCACTTTGGCTAGAATTCAGAAGTGTGATAAAAACCAACGTTCTTGGGATGGGGGCTGTCTCCTCATCTCCTTTCCCCAACCCTAGTTAGTACGATCCTTGGCAGATGTGATTCCATGTGGTCTTTTCCTCTTTTAGCAACAGGTTGAAATGGAGACCGTTCACCTGTTCATCCCCGCCATGTCTGTGGGCGCCATCATTGGCAAGATGGGCCAGCATATCAAGCAGCTCTCTCGTTTCGCTGGAGCTTCTATCAAGGTATTTCCCGTGACTCTGATGCAGTGTCCTTAGGCCATGTGGGGAGCAGGGGAAGTACCCCTCCCCTCTGATGGCTTTAGGTCACAAATGATCCATTTGATCAGGACCTACTTTCTGGGGGATGTCCTTACTTTTCAAACCTTTTTTTTCCCCTGCTTTTCCTTCACTTACCTCAAGTCGACACTGGCAGAGAGACCACTTTAGGCTTACTGAAAAGAAAAACTTGCTGAGAATTCCCTTAACATGGAAGTCTTTGGGTGGCAGGGTGTCCCTGGAGGGAGGTCTTCAACCCAGGAGGTGGACTGAACACCTTGTAGATGCTGTCATGTAGGCAGTTGTGGGCTGCCTCTAGGCTAAGGGCTTCTGACTCTCTGAAACGAGTAACAAGCTACTAAAAGACCACTACCAGATCATAAGCATTATTTTCAGTGTGGTTTGTGTTCACCTTGATAGCATGGATGACAAGGAGGCCAGTCTGCTTTTAATACAAAAACTGGTTTTCTTCTTTGAACCAGCAAATTCAGGCTCAAAGTAAGGAAAAATGTGCCAGTGATGAGCCTTATCTCAGAGCAGAATGGGAAACTTTGGAAAATTTTGGTTTATTGCTCATTGCAAGTCTTTAAGAGGAGACTAAGTTTGTTCAAACACAGGCTAAACTACTTGGCCTTTAGGTGTGCCAGCTGTAGGATTCTGTCTCTCTGTAAATAATTTGGGGGCATTAACACATTCCTTTTTGATACCATTCAAGTTCCTTCCTTCATATTTCCTTGTCCCCATTTATCTCAACATCCACCTCATGGTATCATAAAAATATGGAAGTTGACATACTGCCAGAAGCAGAGCTCTGTGCTGATGCAAGTTTTGTGTTGCAGATTGCCCCACCTGAGACACCTGATGCCAAGGAGAGGATGGTGGTCATCACTGGACCCCCTGAGGCCCAATTCAAGGTATGGTCTACACGGACAGAATGAACCTGGTTAGATGGTGTCAATGGTAGAGAATGTGTTACTTTTTTTTCCAAAATGTTGTAACTTTTTTCTTCCCTTTAAATTGAACTTGGGCAATATTGGGTATCCATTTTCCTAAGGCCATGGTGTTCAACTGTAGGAGCATAATTGGACTTATCCTCAAAATAACTGGAAATACATTTCTAATCACTCAAGATTTTAAAATAAACTTGAGAAGGAAAATATTTTTCTTTAAATTTTTTTCAAGGCTGCTTTTTTCCCCAAATTCTTTACTTCCAGAGACACCAATCTGCTTGGGCTGTTAGAGCCTTAGGGAATTCATTTGTGCCTAGTTTTTCAGACCACTTTCTTAAGAAATCCCTCACCTGTAGCAGATGGATTCATTTCCTCCTGCTCTTGGTAGCTCTAGCCTTGCCCACCATCTTCACTAGCCCTACTCTAACAAGCTGCCCTTCCCCTCTAGTTCTTGCTTTCTAAAAAATGGAAATGTTGCATTTGCAGCCAAACTAAGCCTTTTGGCTAAAATCTTGATACTAGACTTCCTTTTGACCATTTATCTACTATTGCTAAGGCTTTATTCACTACTTCTGTTGAGAATGACAAATCATTGCCTAGAATTGGGTAATTTTGAAATGTTGGGTATGTTGAGAGATGCCCCAACTTTGTTCCTGGCCTTTGCACTAACTCTTAAAGTTTGCCATTCCCTGGACTATAAATGTCAAGAAGAGCTGCACTGTTTAAATTTGCACGATGGCTCCCAAACATTTTGATGAAACTCAGGAAGGAAGGCATACTACCTTTCCTCACATTAAAGCCTGGTCATTCCCATGTCCAGAAACTTTCAGTGGATAAAAGAGAGGAAACTGAAACAACAGACTTGTTCTTTCCTGAAATCCTCTAACATAGAGTCAGAACTGTGCTTGTTTGGCATCAGTGATGACTGTGTTGACAGTAGGGAGGGCAGAGAGAGCACAGGCTCTGCATTTGGCCTTGGCAGATCAGCCAAGCTGACTGGGTTTTTCATTACTCTTCTCTTCAGTACAGCTGGCTGGTAATTGGTGTGACAGGAGGAGATGCCAGCATGGGTTCACCTGTACAGGTGTCCTCGTGTTTTCTGCAGGGTGTGCTGATTGTTCTCTATGGTTTATGCATTTGACGCTCTGTTGGAAATGGATCAGTAGTGTGGGCTAACTTCATTCAAGATCTGATTGCATTTTGAAGTCCTGGCCAGAGAAGAAAACAACTTAGCTTAGTCTGACAAATGTCCATTTAGGTTCTTCCCGGCCCACGCGGAGTGCCTCTGCATTAGGAGGCCACGCTGTTTGGAGCCCGGTGTGGTTGGCTTTGATAGAATCGGCCAGCCCTGAGAAAATCCACTCAACTGCTTTTTGGCTGCGTGGAACCATGTGGGATTTTACCTTTGGGGCTGAAATGCAGACAAAATAATTTTCCTTAAGCAATGATGACAAATCATTCTAATTTTCTGCCAAATACCAAGTAATGCCCTGGGTACTGTGTTGTCTCAGTCACTTGGTTGCTACTTGATCAGATCAGGTGCGTTGCGTTTCCCTGTTGCTGTATATGCCCACCCACTGTCTTTAAATGCAGGGCTCTCCCCACCTCAGAGGTGATATAGTATATTAATTTCCCAGAAGTCACTGGCCTTGTCTTACAGAGTTACTGCCCCTGTGTGTTTGCTTCCTCATGATTGTGGGGTTGGTGTTTGTATTTCCAGGCTCAGGGAAGGATCTATGGAAAGCTCAAGGAAGAGAACTTCTTTGGCCCCAAGGAGGAGGTGAAGCTGGAGGCCCACATCAAAGTGCCCTCCTACGCTGCTGGGAGAGTCATTGGCAAGGGAGGAAAAACCGTAAGTGTTTCAGTGAAACCTTGGCAGTCTTGTGAGAGGGAAAGAGTCAAAGGACTGAGTTTAGGGCACACCCTCACGCTCAACCCAGAGACATCCCTGTGTTTCCCTAGTCAGTGGTGGCATGGGATGCTGGTCCATGCTTGGCCAGCTGTTCCATCACCACTGTTCTATCACAGACCTCCCACTAACACTGGTCAGGCATTTTGTAAATACTGTCCCATTGGACAGTGGCGAGAAAAGAATTGTGTTTGAGGTACTAATCTGGCACTTCTTCTGTGAGCAACTATAAGGATGTGACATTTTTAAGTATTTTAATACTTATGAAAGAGCTTAGTTCCCTTAAATGCTCCACTCAAATTACACATGTTGCATTTAAATTGATAATTACACAAGTCCTAGTCATACTAGCTTTACTTGAGTTTGGGGGGAAGTTGCCTTTTTTCCCCCCATTGTTTCTAAGTAACATTCATGCTCTTAGGAAGGGATGATGCCTTTACAATGTCTCAGAGACATATGATTTTCACTGATGTGGCTGCTTTGTCCAACACAGATTGAGACCTTGATATAACTTACAAGTTGATCTTTCAGCACTCATGTGGCCAAAAATCCAGTGCCATCAGTTGTCCTGAAACTTAGGCTGGTCTCAATAATGCAATTATTAGGCTGTACACCTTCCCAGCTCAGGATCACATTCATTTTCAGCCTGGCTTTCAGGAACCCATGGTCAGTCACTTCCATGCCATGACGAGGGATCAGAGGAAGCTATTCACAACAGGCTGGGCAATGTACTTAGGACTAGAGCTCCCATCATAGGAAAAGGACATCCCCGATAATCATTTGAAAACTGGTTTGCAGGTGAATGAGCTTCAGAATTTGACCAGTGCCGAGGTCGTGGTTCCTCGTGACCAGATTCCTGATGAGAATGATGAGGTGATTGTGAAGATAACTGGCCATTTCTATGCATGCCAGGTAAGTAGTAGATCAACACGTACACAGGCAAACCTTTAAGTGTTCTTCTTTCTTCCTCCTCCTCTTCCTTCTGCATCTTTCTGCATGTGAGGTTGGTGGCTAGGTAATACTATGGCTGTCACCTTCAGATGCTAGGCCTAAAAAACAGCTTTCTGTCCTTGCTCTTCTGCTGACCTTCTCTGGTAGACCTTGTAGAACGAGAGATTTGGCGGGATGGCTGCAGAGCCTTTACTAAGTTTTGACCTAGTGTTCTTTACAAGGCTTTGTCCTCTTACAGCTCGCCCAGAGAAAAATCCAAGAGATTCTGGCCCAGGTTAAGAGGCAGCAGCAAATGCTGCAGAAGAATGCCAATGCTGCCGCCGCGGCTGCTGCCGCTTCCGGTGCAACCGGCAATGGCGGCGCCTCCGCCTCTGCTGCTGCTGCAGCAGCTGCCGGGCCAAACGGCCAGCCTCAGCTCAGGCGAAAATAGAGAGGTTAAGGAAACGGCCATCTCAACAAAAGATGCCAAACCAAAGACGAGACTAAATATAATAGATGGGTGAGGAAACACCTATCCCTAAGTCACAATTAGAAGTCCTACCTACCAAAAGCTTATTTGAAGACCAGGCAAATTCTGAATTCGTGTTTTAAAAAAATTTCTATGTAATGTCCTCTCAAGTTTCCGGAACCTGGCTTTAAAAGAACCAACAAGAAGACGAATTAACTGCAACATCAACAAGAAGCAGAAAATTAAGAGTCATTTCCCTTGTGTTATATTCTTGAAATTTGTTGTAAAGTGACTTGATGTGTGTTGTCCTAGATATTCTACCACTTTAGAAGTTGGTTGAATTAAGCTTTGTGTTCTCATCTTACCAACTTGAACAGAAAGAAAGGCATTGCTCCTTATCCATTACTCATCAAAATAAGCCGGTGGTATGATTGGTGGACTAGAATTATATCCAGTAAATTGTCAACAAGTATAATTAAACATTAGATGTATGTACCCCAAGCCAGTGGCATTTTTTAAAAAATTTGGTTGCATTTTTACTAAGGGAAATGTTGAGTGTGTTGGCCAGGGCATGGAGAGAAGAATATGCATTTTACAAAACTACCTCAGGCGTAGAGAGCACTTAAAAAAAAAAAAAAGAAAAAAAAAAGAAAAAACAAAAAAAAAACCACCTTTCCTTTCTTTTGGTAATCTGTACGTTTGATAGAACAAGAAGTCCCAGAATTTTTTTTTTTTTAAAACAAAGCAGATTTAAAATCTGATCGGCCAACAGAAGCAAGCCGTGAGATAATTGGGCAAAGAGCACATAGTGCTTTGAGCTGGTGGTTGATGGGAATAAAATTGGAAAACAAAAACTCAGGCCTTCTAAGGCTTCCGCCACCAACATTTACCAAATTTAGTCAATGTTATATGATGCTGAACGATGCCAAAAGGAGAGCAGCAAAGCCACTTATGTTTTTTTGTTTTTTAAATGGGCTTTAAAAGAAGTGGTCCTCTTTTGGGGAACAGAACCAAGAAGTGATGGCAAGATGCTGGGGGTGTGGGGGATCGAGCTGAACTAGGAGACTGGACTGTTTGCGCTCCTCGATTAGATGCATGAATCCTTTGTGCCTCTGACCATCACTGCCTAAAGAAACAATGCTTCAGTGCAGATCCATGCAGTCCGTGCGGATGTTCATTGTGTTCAAAGAGCAAGCTTCCTCTTCAGTTCCATAGGCCATGTGATCTGTTGGGCCATTTCTAATGCCTGTCATGCTTTTAGATGATCACAACCGTTATCACCACAACAGGGAGGGGCCAGGAAGGTCAAAAATATGACTATATTTAAAGAAAAGGAAAGGTTACATACCAGCCACCGTCATGGGCCACACTAAACCACCTTGAAAGTCTAAAAAATGAGCTAAACAAGGAAAAAAACCCAAAAGTGTTAAAAAAAAAAAAACACCTAAAATAAAGCCTCCTAGACTGGCTTAAAGATAAAATACAGCAGGATTTATACAGTCTGCAACCAACCAGCTGAAAATAAAATAGTCAAAAGACAGGGATATAGGAAAACTAAATTTCTCTCCAATTTCAAAATGTAATTTGAAAAAAAAAATGATTGTGCTACTACGCATTCAAGTTTCTCCAATAAACTTCAATCTACCTCAGTTTGTGAAATGTGACGGCAACACTTGGTGTGCGTGGGTGTGACTGTGTGTGTGTGCGCACATGAATGTGTGTGTGCACGAGCGTGTGAATGGGGGTGAGTGGTCTACACAGAGCCAGGCGATTTGCCTCCGAGCCCTCTCCCAGGATCTTTGTGCACGAAAGGGCCCAATCACCAAGGGCCAGCTACAGAATTTGGTTGCTCTCCCTCTTAAAATTCTATTAAAATGAGGCATTTCTGCATAGACTACACTGCCCACCCTTCAAAAAAGATCCTTATACAGTGTAGATAATTCTGAAAACAACCCGTTTTCCTCCGTTTTCTTAATTGGTTTCAAAATGATACTTGGTAGTTTTAGCAGAGAATGAGCCTCTCCCTTTCTTTTGACAGTGGAACATCATCTAGTGTTTAGAAACGATTTTTTTTTTCTTCTGAGGAACTGGAATTGCTTCTGTCCAAATGGTCCCTGTCTAGCACTTGGGCTTTCAGCTGAGCCAAGTCTAAGGCCAGACTCCTAAGTGGCAATAGCTTTGCATCTGTAAGATAGGTGCTTTATTTTTATTGCTAGTTTACTGCTATTTTCCTTTTAATTTTTAGCCTATTAGTACGATTAAATGCTATATCATTTTCAGTTAAGATTTGTTCCCTGGGAGCATCTGGGCCTAGTTAGGAAATCTGCAAATGAGCTTAATACTCCCCCTTCCCCCCCATCCCTCAGAGCAGGATTCATTTTTGTCCATGTGTGCCCTCAGTGCAGCTCAATGGAAGAAGGAATAATTCTTTAAGTTTAGTTTACTTAGTATGTGGTTTTGTTTTTTTCATATTTAGCCTTTTAAGCTAACCCAAATGAGCACTACTTTTCTGTCTGGAATTCAGGGAGGTCCCAGAGTGGCTGGGAGATCAGACACATTCACTGGCAAAATACAGGCAGGGATCTGTCTGTCCTGGACAAAGAAAGGTTTCCTTAGGTGCACAGCCAGCTCAAAGACAGTTCCTCTTCTCCAGATGCCTCCAGGATGTCTCCTCCTTCTGACCCAGGCCCACTTACTCCCACCATGGCTCATGGTGTGTATGTAACTCTGGTGTGAAAGTTGACAGATTTGAATGCCAGCAGGGATTTTTTTTTTTAAGCCGGAAATGACCTTTAAAACGCAAAGATTAGGTAGCACAGTTGTGGTTGTACAACACACCTCCGATGCACGGTAGAAAAATTCCATTGCTGGTATTCTAACTGGTTAAGGGGAAAAGGGCTTTTTTTGAGACAAACCAAAATTATGGACCAATCTCTTACAGCTTGTGTCCAGGCTCAGTTTCGATAACCAAACACTTCTGTTTTGGGAAGAAAGCTCTGTCACTCTAAACAACTAGAGACCTCTAGCACTTCTGGCCAGGGGGGATTTGGTGAGCTAGGAGCATCTGCCCACCAGCTGGATCTATAAGATTAGAGTTATCAACACCTTCCTCCACAAATACCTATACTTCTCTATTAGTGTTGGCAGACAGAAAAGGGAAGATGGGGGATGCAAATTTCCTTCCTTTTACCTTACAGACTCAAGGAAACCTCGAGCTTGTTGAGGCTTTAAGATCATTTAAAGGGTTCTTAAAACCAGACTGTGAGGACTAACGTTAAGCTGGTTTGTGGCAGCCTTGAAAAAGAGTTCAGAATATCACAGAGCCCTTCTCCCATCTCATTCTGCTAGCCAGCTTCCTGAAGCCAAGTTTCATGATTGCTGTAGGGGAAAGTGGGAAATTTAATTAGTATCAAAGCAGAGTTTTGAATTTTATTTTAGAACATGCCCCACTGATAAAATGTTTTGTAAGCCCAGGTTTTACTTAAATTTGTTAAACAGATCAACTAAATGGGAGAAGGGAAACTTAGGCAATGCTTTACAAACGGCAGGTTTCATCCATAAGCTAAAGCTCTTTTGAAGCCTCTGAATTTCTACATTCAAATATTACTCTATATTAAACTCTTAATTTTTATATTAGATTATTGTCGGTCCTGTCTCTCTCTAGAGTATATTGTTTCGTGGCTCTTCAGATTCACATCTGTTATTAGTTAGCCAGAGTCACAAAATGGAATGCCCCTGAATTAATTTTTTTCCTCCAACTGGTGGCACTTAATAGGCTCTGAAATGTGCAGGACTTAAATTCTACAACTATTAATGTGGAAAGGCATTTAGAAGAAGGGGATACATATCATCATACTCTAAACTCGTATCAACACACTTGCAGCTAAAATTATGGTACCTTGAATTCAGGGTTGGGGGCAAACTATATAAATCGGAAATTAAGAATCAATCACCTATTGGTTAATATTTTTTTTTTATTTCACGTTCTGTCAACGTCAAATCTAGAAACAGTCCATAAGCTGAGCTGCCTATTTTTCACACGGAGGTTTTCATCTCTTCCCCACAAAGAAAAATAAAAATTAAAACCCAGTGTAGATGATCCCCATGTAAGTCATTCCTTAAAACAGAAGGACATTTCTGCACTATGCTAAACTTGTAAGCTGAAAAGAGTTCTCTATGAGAGTTCTTTTAACTGATACAAGAATCAACTCCTCCAGAGGTGAGAAGTCAAGCCAGGCAAACAACTCCACAAAACTGATTAGGGACCAGGAGACATGATGAAGTGATAAATTAGGTGCATAAATCACCCATCTCTGGTGAAGTCTGAAATTCTTGCTCGAGGTAACTTGCCTGAAAGGCCAGTCCTTAACTGTTGCCACTGCCCAGTTTCCAAAGCTTTCTGTTTTCTATGAGTTTTCTACATTGAGTGCATGTGAGAGTATGCTCAGCCCTGACCAGCAACCATCAGAGGCTCCAGATAGGACTCAGAAGTGGATTAATTGGCTGCAAATCCAAACAGAAAACCTCCTAATAACACGGACCAATTCTAGCTGCTTCAAAGCTCTTACTTTATTCTCTCTCGGCCTCCAATGGAGAATTTGCCAAAGGCTCCTCCTCTGGTGGAAACCCAAGGATGAAGTCTTCAGGTAGGGACTCTGGTGCGATCTCAGCTAACTGGTCATCATAAGTGCCCAGAGTCCACAACTTCTCCAATTCGTAGGTTTCTCGGGTCCCTGGAAGCATCAAATGAATCACCATGCTGCCTGTCAGGGAGTTCAAAGAGTTGTGAGAAGAACAGGGACTGGACTTGCTCCCAGACTTGTGACTTCTCAACTACCAAAGAAAGCAACTCAAGGAGTAGAGTCCATGAACACAGTTAATTCTCAGGGACATCCACCTGGGCTTTGGCAACGATTCAGACTGAGACCCTTCCAAGGCCTTCTTCACTTCCAGTTTGAGAGACTGGAGAATGCCTGAAGCCCACCTAGGGTTAAGTGGGGTCTCAAGACAATTTAACGGATTTTCCAGTTAGACTCTGTAAGGTCCAACTAATGAGAACAAATGCTATTGCTCAGTCTAAATAGGCACAGTATTCAAGACTAAGGCTATACAAAGAGATGACCATTTTTCTCTAAGAAGCAACCTTCCCATCAGAGGCTAATTTCTAGAATCTAAGTAGTGGTGGTGTTCACTAAAAGCAATTTCCATCTTTTAAGAATTTGATTTTTCCCATCACTGTGATGCACCCCACCAGTGTAGAACCAGCAAACGTATTTTTCTAACCCCAAACTTTCCTAGTCTTCTTTCCAGAAGGGGGAAAGGATTCAGAGAAAGAGTGGAGGTAGGAAATCTTAAGTTATCCTAACATCTTCAAAGATCAACCAAGCAGACAACTAAAAATTACTATAACTACTGCTAAGCAAATTACTAGTATCCAAAGTGCTGTGTAGGTGTTGGCATAGGTTGGCCATGTTTGCACACAGAACAGCTCGTTTCTTTAGCTAGTGAGTGTTTTCCTTAAAATAACACTGCAAAGTAAACAACACAAGCACTCGTGTCTTCGTTTTCCAGATAGTGAAGCAGAGAGGCTGAGTGGTTTCACCTAGGATAGAAGGGAGGCTTCTGAGCTCTGGGTTCAGTCCACTCTTTCCACTAAACCATACTTACCTCTCTCTAACATAGACAAAATGTAGCCTGTCCCTCTCAAACACAAACTCCCTATGTTTACCTCACTGTAAACAATTCTTCTGGTTACTAGGACTATTTAAATCACTAATCAGCAGGACTAATCCCTCCCCGCCTTCCATAAAATACACATTCTCATTTCAGCAATACATCTACTCAAAGTTTAAATGTATGTTTGCATTAGAATTTATATTCACCCAAAAGCAGTGGTTCCTTTTTCAAAAACTGATTTTGTAGCTACATCAAAATCCCAATCTGATCAATTACCAATGCTGATCAAAACAGGGCCACTATAACAATTAGGAAGCCAAGTTCTTAATCCCAGAAAACTAGGGAACCGTAATTGCCAAAAGACACACATGTAAACTATTTACTGAAAACAGGTAACATAACCAGGGACAGACAGACAGACAGACACACACACACATCTATGTAAATAGACCACTTTAAATGGGGTGTTAAAATGAAATGTACAATTCTTAACAAATCCAGCCAGGCTAACACGGTGGCTCATATACTTTAGTCTTCATCTTCCAATTTCTTACTTACTGGAAAGGAACGAATGAGCTTTCCATGTGCTATCTCTTTGAACAGCTCAATTTCAGATGTAAAACAAAAGAAGAGGTTACATCCAGTTGTCAGCTGGAAGCCGGCCTGTTCCTTGGTCTTTCTGCCCCAGGAGAGTGGAAAGAAGGCCTGATGGACAAGGACGGGCAGTCAGGGCCTTCTTCCTCATTTCCTCTCCCTGCACCCAGCCCAGGGCTCAGCTGCAACCTTCTTTTGTGAGCAGGGCTCCTACTTTCACCTCTTCTGGGTCTGTTTCCTCATCTAGAAAGGATGGGGTGAGCCTAGATCGCCCTTCCAGCACTAACATTCTTGGAGCCTACCTGACGCTGTTTCCTTAATTGGAACACACAGGTGGCCGAATTTAAGTGTGCCCCTTCTAGTGACTGAACACTTCCACCTGAAGGTCTGTCACTCCCAATCCAATGGGTATTAACACTGAACTCCCCATCTTCCGCGGCCTTCCCCATTTCTGTTAAAGCACACCAGCCCTGTCAACTTCAGGCTTAAGCCTGGAGTTTTCTGACTTTTTCCTTCCCCTTACTTCATCACGTTCTCAAGCCTCTTCCAATTTTTCCTTCCAAGTTTTTTACATCCATCCTTTCTAGGTCAAGACCACTGCAACCCCCTTGTATTTGGCCTCCCTGCTCCAACAACTGTTTTCCCAGATCCACTGTCCTAAGTTTCTCTGCTCTTGTCAGTTCTCTGGTCACTAACCTCCCATACCATGCTCCATCATCGCCACCAAAGCCCCCCCCCCACCAGCTCAGACTCATAAAATCTTAGCGCTGGAAGGTACAGATGAGGAAACAAAGGCAGAGAGATGGAACGCCTTGCCTGTGGGCACTGAGCTAGGAAGGAGCTAAATGGGGATGAGAGGCCAAGAGTCCTGGCTCCATTCAGTGCTTGGAACAGACACTTCTCCATCCTCGGAATATGCTTTGCAGTTTCCTGCCTCGGCTCATTCCCTTCCCCCCCATCTGTGCTTATTAAAGAAAGGACCATCCACATGTTAAGCTAAGACCTAGGTCAAACGCTGCTGCTGCTGCTTATGCAATGACGGGAGGCTAGGACATCTCCCCGAAGCACTCCATGTCTGCACCATGCCCATACATACCATCCTCGGCCTCGCAGTCCACTCGTTTCCATCATATTTTACCCTTAGGCTGCATGCTCCCAGAGGAAGTGAATGTCTCATTCATCTTTGGATTCCGCTCTCCCCCCATGCTCTAGCAAAGCACACCACCTTGCATGTAGCAGGCTTTTCAACATTTGTGGAATGAATGAATGAAGGGATGAATGAATGGTGGCAAGCTCCCACCTCAGCATCTGAGTCCAAAGTGGGGACGAGGTATAGTGGATGTTTGGGGAGGGGGAGGTTTGAACACCAGGCTTCCTGGTTGATTGTTCTGTAAATATTTGTTTTAACCTTTAAAACAAATTTTAGTCATTTTCCCTTGGTGACAGGCATGCTGCTCTCAAAGGCCTGCTTTCTGGCTATCGAAAACAGTCTGAAAGAAGTTTGCAGCAACAGCTGAGAGACTTCTTTGATATATATGTCACCCCCGAAACAACCTATGTCTGTGAAGTGTCCCCCAAAACTTACCAAAGTCCACACACAGCCAGTCATCCGCATCCTTCCCTTCAATCCGAACAAAAGCATCATTCTTGGATTTCAGGAACTTGTGCTGGAACAGAAAGCCAGAGGAGTACAAACTATACCACTCTTCTTTAAAGGTCCTCATGGCACTGAAAACTTGTTTATGGACCAAAAGGGGTGTTTTCACTTGGGGAAACGTAGCCTCCATTATGACAGAACTGCTCTAGAATAGCCACCAAAGTGTAAAAGGAAATTCAGTTACCCAACAGCCACCAGACAATGGCAGCCAAGCTTTCTAAGATGGAGCTGCCTAGTGGACTCCATTCTCCAGGGCGGGGGCCCCTTCCCATCCTCCCCCTTCAAAGCCAGAAGCACTGGGCTGCTCGCACTGTAAGGGAAGGGGCCAGATATGGAACCCCATCTTCCAAATGAACACGTTAACAAATTAAAGCCCACTAATGTGGGCTACCTAAAACCCTACGAGAAAATGTCAGACTCCAGAAACACTTGAGTTTGTAAGGGAAAAGCCAACATTCAGCTGCACTCTCTCAGGCTGAGAAAAGTCACTGAGAAAATCCACTCTGAAAATACCAATTCAGCTATGGTGTATACCCAAGTTACACAAAAGTGTGGGCACGGGGGCAGCTAGGTGGCGCAGTAGATGGAGCATCAGCCCTGGATTCAGGAGGACCTGAGTTCAAATCCAGCCTCTGACACATAACACTTACTAGCTGTGTAACCCTGGGCAAGTCACTTAACCCCCATGGCCCAACCAAAAATCAAAAACAAACAAACAAAAAAAAGCATTGGCACTCTTCAGCGCAGGGACCGGGCCCGTCTATGGGGCCTCCACAACGAGCTTCTCCACTGACCCACATGGGACACCAAGGTCAGGGTGGGCATCATTTCAGCCTGCAACTCTCCTTGCATTTCAGGCATGTGAGACACTGTCAGGGTCTTCTGGACCCCCTAGAAGAGTGGCTCTTAGCTCAGGATTTCCCTGAGGCCATTCTCCAAGGTGACAGGCAGTATCAGCAGCCCATTTCCCTTCTCCCACAGGAGCTTGGGTACCCAATCCCCTCACATGGTACTGAGGAGAACCTGGGGCCCAGAAAGGCTGAGTAAGCTGTCCAGGTCACCCAGGCAGCAGCTAAGAAAGGCCAAATTCAAACCTGGGGTTTCTGACTCCACACTCAGAGCTCCCTCTCTCCCCTGCCTGCCATCTGCTCCAGCGGCACCCCTGTGACCCACATAAAGCACCCCAACACACGTCCCTTTTTCACTGAGGTGCAGAGCAGAACACCCACAAACAGTGAGTGGAAACACACCACTTCATGACAGGCTCCAGGGCCTGGTGGGGCCGGCTGTGCAGCAGTCTGGGTTATTCCTGTGACCAGCTTGTTCCCCAAAATCACTTCCATCAGGGCAAGATTTCAGTGGAAAGCTCAATGCAGCAGGAAAGAAGCAAGCCTGGGGCTTCATTTCTCTCCCCCCTCAGGCTGTAGTCATTCACAGACGACTCCCATAAGGTCATCGTGGAAATGTCTATACTGTGTGCACATGTCAAAAGACAAAACTCCAGGAACCTCTGGACTAGCCAGGGCCCTGCTGACTTCTCAGCCCCTAATCAGCTACTACCTTTATGGAAACCTACCCTTTTAGCCAACAGCACAAAAGAAAGAATAACGCCACTTACCATCTTCACTATGTACTGGGCCATAGCCTGTAAGTGTCTCGGGGAGGTTCCACTCACAACCACGAAGTAATCTGTGTATTTCAGTTCTGGAGAAACCTGGATCACACAAATGTCTTTTGCATTTTCTTGCCTCAAGAGAGACACAAGCAGGTCGATGTCAAATTTGGGTCCCGTATGACCTGAAATACATACCTAAGTTATTGTAACTGAGACCAACTCCACCAGCAAGCAGGCATTCCCTTAGGGCCCCCTGGTCCTGTAGGAGGACCAGGCTGCCTAGGATTTCTCCCCAAATCTTATACCAACACAAAGACATGGACCTGTGGTACAGAACACTCTAGGCCCCCTTAGCTCTACCAATAAGAAACCCTTAGATGAGCCCAGGAGAACACAGAGATTCTCTCACACTGGGATGCAATCAGAAAAGGCAACTTTAAGACTGCTAATAAGGTTTCCAGTTACACAAATCTAAGTTAGCAGTAGCTCTATCCAATTCAGGGCTCTTCAGACCAGCAGGAAAAATCCACCATGGAGTGCTAGCAAAACAACCTAGACCAAGAAACACATCCTTTACCTTTGTTTCACACTCTCTGCCTTCATCCTGCCCCACCGGCACAACGTCTCTCTCCCAAGTCACTGCTCAGTTCCCTCGGCAAATATGTATCTGATGGGGCGGGGGTGAGGGGAATAGGAATGAAAAACAAGATACTGTCCCTGCCACCAAGGTGCTCACAAAGTGATCATGGGAAGACACACACACACAGCTAGACAGCGTTGGTTCAATGAGCACACACGAGTCAACTGGGATGGTTCCTCTCGGAGAAAGGGTAACATCCCTAAAGCATGACAGGGCCAAGGTGATACCGAGGCACACCTCAAGGACTACGATGGCCCTTCCCGCTCACCTAGACTTGAAACAGATCAAGAGCCAAAGAACCCACCCAGAGGTCCAGACAGGTGTACCCCATCCCAAGGCAGGCAGGAGTCTGACTGCGCCCCCAAAGAGCTGAGCCAGGTTCTCCTCACACGTCGAGTTCCCAGAGCCACACCTGAACCTCGAGGGCTCAGCAGGCCCAGCCAGGGTGGGACTGAACGTGAGGCTCAAAGGGTCCCGGCTCAGAAGCCAGAAGGGATCCAGAGACCATCCAGTCCCACTGCCTCCATGAGACAGGAGCAAAATGGGGACCATGAACATGAAAGCCTGGCCCAAGGGCACAGAGGGAGTGCGCTGTCGGGGTGAGATCTCAACCCAGGTCCTTTGACTCCTGGGGCAGTCCATTTTCCATCAGAACACAGGTGAAACAGGGAAACACAGTAACAGGGCTAAGAGCCCAGGTGAGACTTGATGGCCAAATGAGGCTAGTGATAACTAGCATCTACAGCTCCTTACAAAAACCTGTAGCTAAAAAAAATAAAAATAGCCATTTTAAAAAGAGGTGGAGGGAGGGAAGGAAAAAGGGTGAGATACAAAGGGGCACAAAGCTCCAACATGAGGCCATCAACGCTGCTACCGAGGACTAGCGCCAGTCTCGTCTGTCAGCGGTGAAGGGCTGTGGCCTCTTCCTTCCTGTGGGTCACCATACCTAGCTTCAATCCAGGAATCAGGCCAGGCTAGCCCCCTCACCAAGATTCTGTCTCTCCAACAGCCCTAGCTGTAGTGGGGCAGGAATAAGTATTTACAGAGGGACTACTGTGTGCCAGGCTCTTTTCACAAATATGATCTCATCGGATTCTCACAACCACCCTGAGAAGTAGGTACTATTATGGTCCCAATTTTACAACTGAGGAAGCTAAGGTATGAAGAAGTGAAAGGATTTGTCCAAGGTCACACAGCTAGGAAGTGTCTGAGGCTGGATTTGAACCTATGTGTTCCTGACTCTAACCAGTGCAACCCCACAGGCAGCAGCATCTAGTGGACAAAACACTGGACTGGGGCCAGGAAGACCTGAGTTTAAATGCTCCCTTTGACGAGCTCTTTATGGGATCATAGGCAAGACACTCGGCCTCCCTGTGCCTCAGTTTCTTCACTTGTAAAATGGGGAAAAGACTCGCAGCACCAGCTGAAGCGGCTGTGTGACACTCAAACACAGCAGGTTCAAAAGTACTTCATAAGCACCTACTATGTGCCAGGCCCTGCCCTGCAGGAACTCACCGGGCCGCCCGCTGACCCCTGTATACGACCCGTGACCGGGTCCCACGGGGGGGGGGATGGAGCCTAACTGGCCCACACCCCAGGGGCTCGGGTGGGGCACCCCTTGCCCGAAGGCTGCCTCTCCCTGCCCCCCCCAACGCCGGCTCCGGTCGGTTTCTGTTTATGTGGCGCTTTTCACGTGCTCACCCCGCCCCGTAGGGCGTGATGACTACCATCTTACGGATGAACAAACTGAGGCTCCTGGAGGCGGCCTAAGTCCAAGACCAAGGCTGGGACCCACGATCCCGGAGTCCAGTCACCCGCACCTCCTTCCCCTTCCCCTCCTCCTCCCGTGCCTCAGTTTCTCGGCTGAAGAGGGTCGAGGCCACGAGCCGGAAGGGGCGGGCCCCACGCCGGAAGCAGTGGCCTCGGCCCCGCGCCGGCCCGTACCTGCCGCGGCCCGCTCCACTCGGGCGTCGGCCTCGTCCCGCCGCGCTCCGCTCTGGAGCCCGCGCGCCCCCACGCCCGAGGCGAGACCGAGGCCCCGGCCCGGCGGTCTGTGAGCCTGCAGAGGCTGAGGCTTCGCGCCAGACCAACGCGCACCAGTGCGGGGCCTCAGCAGCGGCAGGAGGCGCGCCCAGCAGCGGGCGCCCAGTTGCAGGCCCGGACCCATCACTGCGCGTGCGCACGCCGGCGGGGGCCTCACGTGCGCTTCCTCGAGCGGCCTCCCCGCCCCTCCCTCGCGGGGCCGGAGAGCGGAGCCCTCATTGGGCTAATAGAGGAAACTCGGCGGCTTGCGATTGGTTGCCGCCGAGCCGTGACGTCAGCGCCGTGACAACTGCAGTTCCGGCGGGAGCCTTGCGCTAGTGTGCGCGTGCCCCCGTGCTCGCCCGCTGTTCGGGGGCGCGCGTCGGGCGCGTGGGCCGAGGAAGGGGATTGCGTCATCTGGGTCCTGGCTGGTTCTGGCTGGTCTTGGCTGGTCTTGGCTGGTCCTGGCTGGGCCTGGCGCTTTGGAGCTTGGGAAGCGCCTCCCTTCCTGCTTGCGGCACCACCACCAACCCCTCCTCCACCCAGTGCTATCAATCACTTAAGCACTCCTGTGTGCTGGAGTCCCAGCTAGGGCCTGGAGAGGATAATCAGAACCTGCATTTCCAGGGCACCTACTGTGTGCCCCAGGAAGTCACTGGGCGCCAAGCCCCTCCCAGGCGCTAGTATTATCATTTCTGAACAGCCGAGGAAACTGAGGCAGGCAGCGGTCAAGGGTCTTGCCTTTAGGGGGTCACCCAGCTGGGAGATCACTTTGGAGCTCTGTGCACTGCGGCACCCGCTGGCGGCCTCTAGGGACAAAGCCCAGAGTGAGCGTGCCCCCCTGCAGGGCGCTGACACTCTTCCAACCCTTCCTAGCTTCTCCCGGGCCTGGGAGCTCCCAGAGCTGGCCCCTGCTGCCCAAGCTTCCTTCAGCCTCAGCCAGGCCCCTCCCCTGTTATTGTCTTGTATGGAGTGTGGGCGCCTTGGGGCAAGGCCTGTGGTTTTACGTTTCTTTGTATCCCCAGTAACCGGTATACAGTCGGTGTCTGATAAATGCATATTGACATTCTGCAAGTGAATGGAAGGCTTCGAAGCAACCAGCCTAGAAGCATTTATTAAACACAAACAGTGTCCAGACCCTGGACTGGGTGCTGGAGATGTCAAGACAGTGTCAGAATCCTCGGACCCTCTGGCAATCCATCAGTCTGGTGAAGCCTGTGGACCCTTTCTCAGAATAGGGTGCACACGTAAATGCATAAAATAAAATATGTGCGATTACAAGGGAAACCAATTATGTTGAAATCTTTTTTTATTTTTTAAGTCACAGACCCTACTTCCATACCCTGCTTTGAAATTGTCAACCAACAAGCATTTATTCAGTGTTTATTATGTACCAGGCTCAGTGTCTTTTTTTTTTTTTGGCTAGGCAGTGGGGTTAAGTGATTTGCCCAAGGTCACACAGCTGGTAAGTGTTATGTGTCTGAGGCCAAATTTGAACTCAGGTCCTCCTGAATTCAGGGTCCGTGCTCTGCAGGCTCAGTGTCTTTCAAGGCAACTCAGAACTCACCCTTTGCAAGAGGCCTTTCCTGGTGCCCCCAGCTGCTGGTGCTTTTGCATCTACCCTGTGGAAATCTCATAGATACTGGATTTTTTTCTTTTTTTTAAAATTTAATTTATTTATTTTTAGTTTTCAACATTCACTTCCATAGGATTTTGAGTTTTAAATTTTCTTCCCCTCCTACTTCTCTCCCCATCCCAAGGCATACAATTGATATAAGATCTATGTATACATTCATGTTAAGCATATTTTCATATTAGTCATGATGTAAAGAAGAATTAGAACTAATGGGAGGAACCATGAGAATGAAGCAATAAAACAAAACAAAGGAAAAGGAGAATAAATAGTCTGCTTCCATCTGCATTCAGACTCCATAGTTCTTTCTTTGGATGTGGATGGCAATTTCCATCAGGAGTCTTTTGGAGTTGTCTTAGATCCTTGCATTGCTGAGAAGAGCTAAGTCTGTCAAAGTTGGTCATCACAGGGGCAGCTAGGTGGTGCAATGGATAGCTCACCGGCCCTGAATTCAGAAGGACTTGAGTTCAAATTTGACCTCAGACACATAACACTTACTAGGTGTGTGACCCTGGGCAAGTCACTTAACCCCATTGCCTAGCCAAAAAACAAAACAAAACAAAGTTGGTCATTGTACAGTGTGGCTGTTACTGTGTACAATGTTCTCCTGGTTCTGCTCACTTCACTCAGCAGCAGTCCATACAAGTCTTTCTAGGTTTTTCTGAAGTCTGCCTGCTCATCATTTCTTTCTTTCTTTCTTTCTTTCTTTCTTTCTTTCTTTCTTTCTTTCTTTCTTTCTTTCTTTCTTTCTTTCTTTCTTTCTTTCTTTCTTTCTCTTTCTTTCTTCTCTGCCCAGGGGTCACACAGCTAATAAGTGTCAAGTGTCTGAGGCTGGATTTGAACTCAGGTCCTCTTGACTCTAAGGCCAGAGCTCTATCCACTGGGCCACCTAGCTGCCCCCTCATCACTTCTTATAGCACAACAGTATTCCATTACATTCATAGACCACAGCTTGTTCAGCTATTCCCCAAATGATGGGCATTCCCTCAATTTCCAATTCTTTGCCACCAACCGTAAAAGCTGCTATAAATATTTTTGTACACGTGGGTCTTTTTCCCATTTTTATGATCTCTTTGGGATACAGCCCTAGAAATGGTATTGCTGAGTCAAAGGGTATGCACATTTTTATGTCCCTTCCGGCATAGTTCCAAATTGCTCTCTAAAATGGTTGGATCACTTCACAACTCCACCAACAATGCGTTAGTGTTCCAATTTTCCCACATCTTCTCCAACATTTATCATTTTCCTGTTTTGTCATGTTGGCCATTCTGATAAGTGTGATGTGGTACCTCAGAGTCATTTTGATTTGCATTTGTCTGATGAAACATGATTTAGAACATTTTTTCATACAGATTTTTTCCATGTTGGTATCTCCCATTAGAATGTCTGCCCTTGAGGGCAGAGACTGTTAAGTAGCCTTTTTTTTTTAATTTAATTTTTAAATTTTTAGGCAATTGGGGTTAAGTCACTTGCCCAGGGTCACACAGCTAGTACATGTCAAGTGTTTGGTCTGAGGTCAGATTTGAACTCAGGTCCTCCTGATTTCAGGGCTGGTGCTCTATCCACTGCACCACCTAGCTGCCCCTTGTAAGTAGCCCTTTTGTGTCTGCTCAGTGTTTATCACAGTGCCTGGCATACAGAAAGCACTCTGAGAATACCTAAATTCAGTAGCAAGAATAAAACAATTGCTGGCTTCAGGAAATATGTTCTAGAACTGAACAAAGTGTTTAAAAGCATTGAATGTGGGGCAGCTAGGTGGCCCAGTGGATAGAGCACTGGCCCTGTAGTCAGGAGGACTTGAGTTCAAATCCAGCCTCAGACACATAGTACTTCCTAGCTACGTGACTCTGGGCAAGTCACTTAACCCCAATTGCCTAATTAAAAAAAAAAGGCACTGAATCTGTTGGCAAGCATTTATTAACCACCTACTATGTGTCATGCATGCACTGTGTTATGTGGTGGTGATAAAAAGACAAAAAGGGCAACAATTCCTGCCCTTTAGGAACTTAGATTCTAATAAGGGAGACAACAGGTACATATAGAAATATAGGATGGCATTTGAACCTGTGATTTCATTGGTTAGGGAACTGCAGGACAAAACTCTCTATCAATGCAGGCCAGTCAGCCAATAAACATTTATTAAGCACCTACTATGTGCCAGGCACTGTGGATCGAGAGAGGCAAAAGACATTCACTGCCCTTGAGGACCTCTCAGTTGGATGGAGGAGACAACATGGGAACCATTCTGTACAAATGATGCACACAGGGGATAAACGGGAAGCTTTTGCAACTGACGGGGTTTTAGAGAAGTGTCTGCCATGGAAGTGAAACGTCTGCCCACGGTCGCACAGCCTGTGTACATCCAAGGAGGGATTTCTGGGCTCGGGCTGCTGTGCTGCTCTGTGGAGACTCTACCAAAATAAAGAATAAAACAATAGAAACCAGGGGAACTACCTGGAAGATGATTAGGGAGGATACTGTCAATTAATCAATCAATCAATCAATCCACATGCATATATTTAGTATCTGCTATGTACCAGACATGGAGGGGGTGGAAGGGGACACAAAGACAGGTGAAAGCTTCATTCCCCTCCTTAAGGAGGGGCTTACTTACTTCTCTTTGTACCCATCCATAAGTCTCTTATCTACCAAGAGGAAATGGACCAGTCTTTGTCTTCTAGCAGCCTAAATTCTGTTGTGAAGACCACACACACACACACACACACACACACACACACATACACACACACACACACACACACACACACACACACACACACATGCGTGCGTACGTGCCCAGGATACAAGGTCATGGGGGAGGCTGCTGAGTTCCCCCTAACCAGACCATGCGTGATTTCAGTGCCCCTCTCAGTCAATCCGAGGATGACAGAGAGGGCTTGGTGCAAAGGCAGCTCTTGCCCTGAACTTTGAAGGAAATGAATAATCCTAGGGCACTTTACATTCTTATTTCATTTGATGGGGGACATAGCATGGCATGATGGGAAGGGCATGGAATAGAGCTTCAGAAAACCTGAGTTTGCATCTTGTGTGCTCTGGGGCACTCCCTTCTCTCTGGGACTAGTCTGCCTCTAAGCCTGGGTGGGCTCTAGCGGAGATTCTTATCCTGCCTCAGCAGCAGGCGCTCCGTGCTGCCATGCCGGGCTTGGAATTCTGGCTATCGCAGCGTTAATACAGAGCCCCGGTTAAGAACCACCTTTCAGATGGCTTTCCTCTCTAAGTGGGTGATCTGATGACTCCATTCAATTTAATCACCATTTATTAAGCGTCTCCAATGCACAAGAAATGGATCTAGGCATTGGGGATCCAAAGACCAAAACAAAACCGAAAAACCCACTGCTCTCTGCCCTCTGGAGGCTTGTTTTCTTCTTAGGGACCCTCCCAACAATCTGTGTAAGGTAGGCAGGCCAGGGCTTTCTGTCCCCACATTTCACATGTGAAAATAGGCCACGTGAGGGGCAACAAGCCAGAGGTCACACAGCTAGTAACTGTCATAGAGTGAGGACAAGTCTGGCTCTTCTCACAGGCTCT